AGGAACAACTGTAATAATCTGAACAATAAAGATTTAATTAATAAAAAAAGAAAACCTATTTGAATCAATATTGACAGAAAACTTCGATGAAAGAATGAAAGAAATAGACTTACAAGTCCAGGAAGCACAGAGAACCCCAAACAAAAGGAATCCAAAGAGGACCACACATCATAATATCATTATTAAAATGCCAAGAGAAAAGACAAAGAGAGAATCTTAAAAGCAGCAAGAGAAAGAAACTCAGTTACCTACAAGGGAATACCCATACGACTGTCAGCTGATTTCTCAACAGAAACTTTGCAGGCCAGAAGGGAGTGGCAAGAAATATTCAAAGTGATGAATAGCAAGAACCTACAACCAAGATTACTTTATCCAGCAAAGCTATCATTCAGAAGTGAAGGTCAGATAAAGAGCTTCACAGATAAGAAAAAGCTAAAGGAGTTCATCACCACCAAACCAGTATTATATGAAATGCTGAAAGGTATTCTTTAAGAAGAGGAAGAAGAAAAAGGTAAAGATAAAAATTATGAACAACAAATACATATCTATCAACAAGTGAATCTAAAAATCAAGTGAATAAAAAGTCTGATGAACAGAATAAATGGTGAATATAATAGAATCAGGGGCATAGAAAGGGAGTGGACTGACAATTCTCGGGGGGAAAGGGATTTGGGGGGTGCAGGAAGAGACTGGACAAAAATCGTACACCTATGGATGAGGACAGTGGTCAGGGTAAGGGCAGAGGGTGGGGTGGGAACCGGGTGGAGGGGAGCTATGGGGGGAAAAAAGAGGAACTGTAATAATATGAACAATAAAGATTTAATAAATTAAAAAAAAGAAATATATATACCTGTTATCCCTTCTCCTTGAAAATAAACAAGCTCAGAATAGATCTTCTCTAAAGGTTGCATGGATAGAACATTTTTGTGTATAAGATACTGTTAACGTAAAAACATTCAAACCTGTAAAGAATTTTTGTGAGTTTATTTGAGTCAAACTGTCGACAATTACCAGGAAGCAGTATCTCAATGGATTGGGATAATGCTCCAGAGAATGGTGGTTTCTCATCTATTTTTATACATTGCAATCAAAGGAGAAGAAGTAGGTGGGTTACATGAAATCCATTGGAGGTAGATTAGAGAGGTGGTTGAAAGCAAAGGCGGGGACGGGGACGGACCTGGGATTGGAGAAAAAGTGAAATGATAGACGGAGAGTTAACAGTCAGCAATTAACATGATAGCAACAATGAAGGAATTTGTGGTATCTGCCTTGGCGCCCAGGCACATTAGGTTGTGCCCCAAGAGGTCTGGAAAGAGGGAAGTTGCAAATTATCCAAACATTTCAAGGATACGTTATTGTAGATGCAAAAAGGCAGATAGGCTCATTTAAGATAAAGGTTGACCTTGTCAGGAAAAATACCGGCCTAGGACATGACTACCCACTATAACTGCTTTTAGTTAAAGTTTTAATTTCACATCATCCTTTGTGGTTACTTTAGGTCTTTAAGCTTGCAAGACTGCCATGCAAGCCTTCCCTGAACTTGTCAGGTTAGCATGTGGCATCCCCCCTACCCCCCTTCACAATACTGTAAATTGTTTATTTATAAACTAGAGACCCAATGCACAAAATTCGTGCAAGGGGCTGGGCCCTCACAGCCCCCGATGCCTCGGCCCTTGCAGCCCTGGCTTCGTCCAGAAGGTCATCCGGATGGTCGTTCTGCTGTTTGGTCTAATTAGCATATTCACTCTTTATTATATAGGATGCTTATGAGAGAGATCTGGTAGGTGTGTGTAGTACAGAGTGCAATGAAGAGAGTCCTAGTCCTGGCCCTACTGCTATTTCACTTCACTGAGTTTTCTTAAGAAGGAGATTAGAGTAGATGTTCCTGTAGGTCCCATTCACATTCTCCTAAACTTGCACCCAGGTGGTGTGGGACTTATTACAGTGAACATGGAGAAGTCCCTCTTCTTAACAGCGAGGGCACTGTCAGGTAAACTGAGTGCCAACCATGTAAAAATGCTATTCCCTAAGTACTTTTGTTTCCTAAAAAATCAGGAACCAAACGAGGGAAAAGAAATTGCCCGCCACACACCTTTTTTCAATCTGCAAAGAAACCTTCAGAGCAGATTTAAGCCTGGATCAACCTCTCTATATTAGTTTATATTACCTTCCATTTCTTTTTTAATAGCTGCATAGTACTCCATTGTGTAGATGAATAATGTTTTATTCACCAGATCTGTTATGTGTTGCTGACCTTGGGCTATTTCAAAGAGTGCCACAATAAATTACTGTGTGTTTTAATGAAAACATAAATTTATTTCTCTCTTAGGGTTCTGTGAGTAACGGGGATCAATTGATGGGATTCAGGGGTTCTCAGTTGGAGTCTCTCAGGCAATTGTAGATGGAAGGTGGGGCTGAAGTCTTTTCAGCCAGAGTACAAGGAGCTTAAATCAAAAGCATGGTGGCCCAAGGACAGTGAGTACCCTTCTCACTGTCCTCCTGGGTCAGAAGCAGCAACCAGCTATCAGAGAAAAGGTTCCCAGTATTTGAAGGACAGGGTCTTTTGCCCACCTTGGCTCCTGCAAGCTCTGTGCAAGCTGCTCCAGGAACAAGTGTATCGCTGCCTGTCATGTGACTGGGGTGGAGAAAGGGCAGCTGCTACTGAGCTGAGCTATAATTAACCACAGTATACTGTTCAAGTCTTCCCCTGGGAGCTGGGAGCCTTCAGTAGACTCCAGAGTTCCAAAATAGTGACGTCAGGTAGATGCCGTAGTGCAGCAGTTGCCTAGGTGGGGAGACAGATTCTTCCTGCTCCGAGTCTTCCCAGAATCCTCTGTGCATATGTTATTTGTATTGTTGGGGACATACCTTCAGGGTGAGATCCTAGTAATGGGATTGCTAAAAACAAATACAGACGTAATCTATTTAGATATTGCAAAGTACTTTCTGTGGAGTCGTGCAATTTTACATTCCCACAAGCAGTGGATGAAGTACCTGTGTCCCGCAGCCTCACCAGCAATGCATTGTCAAGCTTTTGAGTTTTTGCTGATCTGGGATGAGTAATCATATTTTAATGTAGAGATAAACTAAAGCCCAAGGAGAGAAAACAATATACAAAACTGAATTTCTAGTTTAAAAAAATGCTTTAATACAGTGTGGAAAATAGTGTTCGAATATGAAGCTGGACAGTCAATGGGTCCATGCTGCCTGTTAAGCAGAGACAGGCTTGACTCCTATATGAGCATTTATTCCAATACTGCCAGCAGTATGGGAGAGCAGCAGGTCATCCGCAGAAGTCTGCTCTGCAGCCCCCCATAAGCCAGCTGCTCTTATAGGGTAAGACGAAGATTTCACGGGGAAGTAGGGATTGCAGGCATGGGGAAGTAAGCAGTGCAGGCTGGGGTGGGACTCCATTGTTTGGGCAACAAGGTTGTTAATCTTTCCATGATAATAGGCAGTTCTTGAATGGGAATGGGCCACATTCCAAGGTTGACTTCCCAGGTCTAAGGTTGGCTCCCAAGTTCCCAGGGGCATACAACTCCCAGCCAGGTTAGATTGTTCATTCTTTTAACCAGAACAAGGCAATCATGGTTAACAGAGCATGATGAATATTTCCCATAACCAAAGCTAGTCCCCAATATTCTATTTTTGTTTCTAACAACGTCATATATCTCTTTTAGGGGTTGAATACCTGGATTAAGTACCAGGCCAAAACCTTTTCCTAATTTGTAGTTCTGCCTGCGGTATTACTCTAGTCTGACTCATTGGTTGCAGTGAGTTTCAGTCACACAAAGAAGGGAGGCGGTGCCCGTGAGAATGTGTGTACCACAGTGGAGAGTGCCGGCCTGAAGGTGGCCTCTGTCACCACCCGTCTTACCAGCTGTTGTCTCCACAGCTCTTACGCTCTTCTGCACATCAGCCTCAAGATCGCCATGTGTGCTGAGTTCCTCTTTTTCAATAGTGTCTGTTCTGAGTTCAGCTTACACATGTGCCAGGCTGGACACGCCATTCTCTCTCTTACCTAAATGTGACCTTTTGGCTTCAGCCCTTTGCAGCTGACCAGTGTCTTCTCTTGCTGTCTTTTAGTCACATTTAAAAAAAAAATCATTGGCTCAGGCCATCTTTTTGTGCCACTTCTGATTGTTGTTCTTAGCTAAACTGTAAAGTGGCTTTCTTGGATCAGGTGTCAAGCCCCTTAAGGATGTCAGGGAGGGAGCAGGAGAGCAGCAGGGAAATAGCAAGGAACCATGGATGGGACAGTGAGGGGCAGGATAGAGCTGAATGCATAACACATTCTCTCTCTCAGTATACCGTTTATTTTTTCAATAGAGTACTTCAGGCAAATACTTAGTAGTGCAGATTGAATAGTGTAGGAAACTAGCTAATATTTAGGTGTCCAGATTGCCTGAGAAGTATGCTGCTATTTTTGTTCCCATTGTGACTTCAGTAGCATGGTGTGGCAGAAAGGCCACTATACTAGAGGCCAGCAGTCTTAGATTCTGGACCTGAGTTTGCTGTTCTGAAAGGCTGCACTTTCTTCACCAGATAAATCTTTAAAAGTAGAGTAGTTTCTAAGGTACTGCTAGGTCTAGCTAAAAAATCTGTGACTCAAATTGTTCTATACCGAGCTGGGGAAGGTAATTTCCACAGCACAGTTAGAATACAATCATAAGTTCAGGTTAATGTAAAAAAAATGAGAATGATATGAGAGCGATTGGGCCCTTAAATTAGAAAAAGATAGGGAGTTTTGTAGTGAACCAAATTCTCCTCATTTGAACTTGTTTTATTGGAAATGGGATGATCTTCATAAACTGATTTAAGTTGGATATTACAGTCACAAACTGTAATATCCCAAGTTGTACATAAGTAGTATAGTATTATAAATGTAATATTAAAGTTTGAAATGCTCTTTATCTTCCATGCTTGTAAAAAAATCATAGTTGGATATTCAGAATAGTTAAGTAACATGGTTCTCTTTTACTTTTTAGGATTTAAGTGCCCTGTATGCTCAAAATTTGTACCCTCAGATGAAATGGATTTACATCTTGTGATGTGTTTAACAAAGCCAAGAATAACATATAATGGTAAGTCCTGTGCTTTAATGTTTTAAATGAGGATTACTTAGATTTAATGAACTTCATGTTTCAGGTAACATTTAAAAGGACAGGAAGCACCACCATGAACCTTGGAGGCCCACTGGTGCTCTAATTAGGCCTGGTGCTTTAAAGGGTTGTACCATTATTTCCTGACCACAATGTCTCTAGATATTCAAAACCCTGGGAGAGATTTTCCATATGGTTTTGGTACATTTTGAAATAGACTTGAAAAAAAAACCAAATAGTTCACTCCTGACTTTAAATAAATGGGATAAAATAAAGGAAAAATGAGAGCTTTTCCCAAAATTGCATGAATAGGACAAACTTCAAAAGTGTATGAGAAATTTTAGATTTTTCAGATGTACAATTTGGTTTGAAATAGAATAAGTCGGAAGAGTACCAGTAAACAGTGAATCCAATTGAAAGGTTGACTTAATTCAACAAATGTTTTGTGAATACTCTCAAGGTATGGTGTTAGGAACTTGAGATGAAACTGACTAAAACAGAGATGGATCCTACAATCTGGGATCCATCCAAAGGATAATCAACGTAGGAGCATTTAACAATCTGGGATTTCTACTCATTAAAAAAAAATGTTGGGAGAGGTAGAATTTAACACTGAAATGGACATGTTACTTTGAGTAGCTTTTTTTTTTTTTTGCAAATTGGTTTAGGAGTCTCTGATAAGATAGTGTTTCAGCCACACTGTTATTATAGTGGGGACAGTAGAGCACTTTTTCCCATTCATTTTCCGTGAGTAAGTAAAAAGTAGGGTTTAGTAAATGTACCTGTTGATTATATCCATACCTTTTTATATTATGAAATTGAATTGGCTACTTTGCATAATCTAGTTGAATTTCAGTTACTTAAGAAATAAAAAGCATTTCCATTTTACCTCAAATTTGAGGTAAAAGTGATTGGGCTTGTTTCTTATACTTACTCCATTATCTTATTGTTACTCTATTATTATGTTTATTATTGGTCTCTTTAAAGTAAATATCCTTAAATCTTAATACTCTGGCCTTGAACTTTAAAAGCACAAATGTATTTCTTTTGACCATGTGAAATAGTTGTACACAGTCTTAGTATTCTGTACATTTACTTTTTGTATAATATATTTAGAAAACAGTCTTTTGTGTGTCAATATTTGGCTAAAGTCATTAAAGTTTTCTATATCGCTTATTTGATATCTTAACCAATAGGTAGTCTTCTGCTTGGGGATACTGTAAACAAAAGATTTAGGTGAGTCAGAATCTTTAAAACAGACCCTTTTTAGTCACCTGGACTCCTCACAGCTTTATATTTGAATTCATAGAAGTTGATTCCTTAGAGAAATATGCATCTAAATTGTGTTGTTAAACAAAATTCAGCTGAATACATTTGAAGATCTAATTGACTTTATTCAGTGATTCAGGAATCAGGCAGCATCCCATCTAGCGGATACTGGGGCTGTACATAATGAAGGGCTTTTATAGGCAAAGGTGGGGCCAGATAAGAAAGTTGTTAGGAAAGAGCCAATAGTTTCAGGCAAGGTCATCTTTCTTTGCGGCGGTTCTCAACCTGTGGGTCACGACCATCGGAACACACAGCATATCAGATATTTACATTACGATTCATAACAGTAGCAAAATTACAGTTATGAAGTAGCAACGAAAATAATTTTATGGTTGGGGGTCACCACAACATGAGGAACTATATTAAAGGGTCGCAGCATTAGGAAGGTTGAGAACCACTGCTTTAGGGGAAGATGGGTCTGTCTGACAGATTACCTCACTAGTGTTGATCAGCTAATTTCAGATTGACTGGTTATAGGTTACATTCCTGGGAGAGGCTGAAATTGCAATTACGTGAGGTATTAAGCCTTGATTTGCTGACTTGGGACTTAACACAAGTGACTCCATCTTTGGCCTGTTGTCTCTTTTTTGACAACTCAAAAGAGAATTTTATTCAGCATAGTGCTTATTAATTTATACCTTTTGCAGCCTTATCTAAAGTAGCTAGATCTGAATTTTTGAATTTTATTTGTTATATGTATATTGACTTAACTATACAAACATTCACAGTTAGCAAGGAGAACTGGACTTGTTTTTCATGCTGGATATATTTATAGTCAAATTCCAGAAGAGGATGAATTATAGAAATTTGAATATAAGTTGGTAATTTGGAGTTTCAAATTCATACTCACAGAGATGATAGTCTAAATGTTAGACTAGCCCACAACAACTTAAAAAAAAAATCTGTGAATATATCAAAATACCAAGTCCAGTAACTGAAGAACAGAATTGACTGACTAGGTGGAAGCTCCTCAGGGTTTAGGCAGCTGGCTCAGCAGAGGTTCAGATAGGAGGTCCAAAGTGATCACAGAGGGAGTGATTCAGAGTGTTGTGAGTGGTTATCTACTGCTGGTGGCATTTTGGCAGGATGGGAAAAATTACAAAATGCCACAATGAGTGTCCGTCTGTATAGACTGCCCTTAAATCAGGGACTGCCTATCTCATATACCTTTCCCTCTTTCATGTACTTCCGTTTATGCACCTAGTAATTCATTGTGTCGTCTGTGAACATGATACAAATTTTATGAGCATACTCCCTCTTCATTTCCTTGTCCCCCATCTTCCAAAATGTTTAAGAACAAACCAAAAACATGAGATAAATATTTTCAGCAAATTCTTAGTCTTGGTTTTGTTGGTTTTTAAACTTCACTGGATCTTAGCATGTTTTGTGTCTATTATAAAATTCAGTTTTTATTTTAGAATTCTGTGATTGAGGGCAGTAAGATTTGTATTTAAGAAAACTTTGTTTTATTTTTAATTGGTATTATTTGTGTGTGTGCACTTGTACCTGGAGGAGGAGTAGCTTGAAATAAGTTTGTCTTCTGAGAATTCATTATAAACTCATGTAGTGAATCAAAGCAGAGCCTTTTCAAGTCATCAGAAAGAAGTAAGATGTTACTCTTACTCTGTTAAATTGACATATTTGAAGAAATATGTATTGAGTCATTTGGAAGGGAACTTGTTCTGTAATGAAAGTGAGTTATAAGGATCCCACCTTGTGTGCTGTCCTTGGGAGAAAGTGCTGTCACGCTCACTGGAATGTGGAGGTAGATTGCAGCGGGCGCTCTATTCCAGTGTGCTCCTGAGCCTTCAGGTGGCCTGGCTTTCCATGTGCGCTGGTGCAGGCGGGAACATGCTTTCTCCCTCTGTAGATACTGTCTGGCTTTTCAGCCAGTTGTGGTTCCCATTTTAAGTTATAAACTTGCTTTCTGCCTTACATACTACATTTTCTTGGTTTTAAGACACACATCCTTTACCCACACACACACATTTTAATGTTTCTGAATTCAGGATGTTTCCTGAATGGGCATGTCTCTTATAAGTGAGGTTAAAAAAAAAATTGCCAGCAACCACAAAGCAGAATTTTAAATAAGGAGGTGGTTATTGTGTGAGTTTCTGTGAACTTGCCCTTCTGTGGAAGATTTGTTATGTATTTTATTTTTTTTGTAAGAGAACATTTATTTGATAAATTATAGAGGTAGAAGAAGTAATTTCTAGAAGAAATGTGCTTAGGGAAACAAGTTATAGAGGTAAAGGAAGGGCCAGTGGAGCTTGGGAGTGAGGAAGCTAATAATTACAGGCCTAGAGGGGTGGGGATTGGGGGGAGGTAAGGGAAAGGGAAAGGCAGGGATGTGTTCCCTGGAGATAGAGTGCCAGATTTCTGTTATTTGATTTGGTGCCTGTGTGCATTTATTTGCATTGGTGATTTCTGTGGTTGAGTTTTAATTGTGATTCCTGGTTGCAGTTTTAAATGACTTCATAGATTATAGGGCATCATTGAAGTGAAGTGATTTTTTTTTTTTGTACTATAAATTGGCTGTCAAGCCATGAAGTAAAAAAATTAATTCAGTAGAAAGTGTCACATCTCTTATTCCATATTATGGAAATTTTAAAATAGCCAATGTCCCAGAAGAGGTTGGCAAAACTATTCTAAAACCTACATGGGACTTCTATAGAAAAATAGTTACCTTCTGTAAATGTACCACAGCTTCTTCTTCTTCTTCTTCTTTTTTTTTTAAATATATTTTTATTGATTTCAGAGAGGAAGGGAGAGAGAGAGAGAAACATCAATGATGAGAGGGAATCATTGATTGGCTGCTTCCTGCACACTCCCTACTGGGGATCGAGCCTGCAACCTGAGCATGTGCCCTTGACCAGAATCGATCCTGGGATCCTTCAGTCCACAGGCCAATGCTCTATCCACTGAGCCAAACCGGATAGGGCTACCACAGCTTCTTTATCCACTCATCTACTGATGGGCACTTGGGTTGCTGCTGATGGGCACTTGGGTTGCTTCCAGATATGGCCTATTGTAAATAATGCTGCAGTGAACATAGGTGTGTATATTCTTTTGAATTAGTGTTTTGGGCTTCCTCCGTCAAATTCCCAGACATGGAATCTATGAGTCAGAAGGCAGTTCCATTTTAAATTTTTTGAGGTAACTCCATACTACTTTCCACAGTAGGTGCACCAATCTGCATTCCCACCTGCAGTGCACGAGGGTTCCCTTTTCTCCACATCCTTGCCAACATTTGTTATTTGTGGATTTATTGATGATAGCCATTCTGACAGGTGTGAGGTGATCTTACCTTTTGTGATAGTATGGATGGACCTGGAGAGTATTGTGCTAAGTGAAATAAGCCATTCAGAGAAAGACAAGTACCATATGATTTCACTTACATGTGGAATCCAAAGAACAAAATTAACAAAGTAGAAACAGACTCCTAGTTGTCAGAGGTGGGCAGGGGTAGAGGGGCTGGGTGAAAAAGGTGAAGGGATTAAGGAAAAAAAAACAACCCACACAAAGACCTCATAGACAGACAATAGTATGGTCATTACCAGAGGGAAATGAGGGTGGGGGAAGGCAGGAAAGGGTAAGGGGGGGGGATATATGGTGATGAAAGAGACATGATTTGGGGTAGTGAACACACAATACAATATACAGATGATGTATTATAGAAGTGTACACTTTAAACCTATATCATTTTACTAACTAATGCTAGTATATTCAATTTAAAACGTAAACTGACAAAAATAGTTACATTCTATTGAAAGTGAACTTGCGATTAAAAATAAAAAATATATGAGGTGTGAGTCAGCAGATGTGATTAGAATTAGCACCCCAAGAACTTTAAAACTATAAATATATTTCCAAATCATTAAGATCATAAAAGGACAAATAAGAAATAAGTAAAAACTAAGTATGTGTTTACTTTATAAAGATAATGGATCAGAAATGGTCATAATAAGAAACTTTACTGTGGTTAGTCTTATCCAGTTGCCAGAATTATACACACCTGTGACACTCAAATCATTTTTACGCCTTTCTGTTAACATAGCTATTCAAAACACCAATTTACATTTAAAATGTTCTTAGCAGCATTACTTACAATAGCTAAGATCTGGAAACATCCCAAGTGCCCATCAGCAGATGAGTGCATAAAAGAGCTGTGGTATATTTACACAATGGAATGCTGTGCAGCTGTGAAAAAGAAGGGTCTCTTACCCTTTGTGGCAGCATGGATGGACCTGGAGATTATTATGCTAAAAGAAATAATCCAGTCAGAGAAAGACAAATATCACATGACCTCACTTACATGTGGAATCTAATGAACAAAATAAGTCCAGAGACATGGCTGCATGGAACAATCTCACAGATTTCAGAGGGAAGGGGAGAGGAGGGGACTTGGGAAGAGATTAACCAAATAATTTATATGCATACTAGAGGCCTCGCGCACAGATTCGTGTACCAGTGGGGTCCTTCGGCCTGGCCTGTGCCCTCTCGCAATCCGGGACCCCTCGGGGGATGTCAGAGAGTCAGTTTCGGCCCAATCCCCACAGGTGCACCGGTGGGGTCCCTTGGCCTGGCCTGTGGGGATTGGGCCAAAACTGGCATATTAGCCTTTTATATATATAGATATGCATAGCCCATGGACACAGACTGTAATGCCTTGAAGGCCTTGGTTGGGGCAGGTGCCAGAAGGAGGGGGGAAATGGGGGACATCTGTAATACTGTCAATAATAAAAATAAATATAAAAAGTTTATTTACAGACCAGTTTGGAGAATAGTATGGTACTTTATGTGGGAAATGGTTATGATGTGCTGGGAGGGGGAAGTTATCACAGAAACATAGGAAGAATTGGGTTTAGTGATTGCTGGACTTGGGGAGGGAGGAGTCACCAGGACTGGAGGATTGGTGGTGGAGTGACTCACTTTGTGGTAGAGAGCGTAGGAGAGCACCTAACTGTTCTCCACAACATGCCAGGGATCGACCTTTCAGATGTAAAATTATGAAATGTGATTTTTCTTAAAGGATTTTTCTCAAGGAGAGGAGTTAAGGATTTTACAGAGGGTCATTGAGTATTTTGTTCACTTCAAGAAAGATGTTAGAACTGTTAAAAGAAATGACTTGTGAATATTTTTTCAATGACCACTTATTGCTTGTATAACGTTTTTTAAAAAAATGCCTTTTCTCTCCTCCCACTCTCCCCGTAAGTCACGTTGGCCCTGATAATTCAGAACACTTCCTGGATTTGCCTAGAGTGGCCTTGAGAAGTATCTCCCCAGACACTCACTGAGGGCTTGGTTTCAGGGTAGGCTCTGCCTTTGGAGAATTGTATTTAACTCTTAACATCTTAACAGTGTATTAAGGTAATGTAAGATTAAAAGTAAAAAAGAAAAATATTCTAGATAGTCTTATTCCTTTGCCATCTAAATATTTATAGTATTTATGATTTACTTCATTTCTTTCATTTTCTGCTAAACTGATTTTGGGATCTCCAGTGTTCTTGATCCTTCAGCACCTCCTAGATCAGTGGTTCTCAACCTTCCTAATGCCGCGACTCTTTAATAGAGTTCCTCATGTTGTGGTGACCCCCAACCACAAAATTATTTTCGTTGCTACTTCATAATTGTAATTTTGCTACTGTTATAATCGTAATGTAAATATCTGATATGCAGGATGTATTTAGGTGACCCCTGTGAAAGGGTCGTTTGACCCCCAAAGGGTTGTGACCCACAGGTTGAGAACCGCTGTCCTAGATTATAGTTACTTTTATCTTAACCCCTTTAAACTGTACTCCTTAGCATTCACCTCACTTCCTAGCACTTCCCTTGTAATGCTTTTTTACTGAAAAAATCTTTGACACCAGTTCTTGGTTTTGAAATACCATTCTCTGGTAGAGAGAACCAGGGCTCCTTGAAGAAAGGATTAGTTCTAGGCTGGCGATCTGTATTGTCTGAAAGCCAGGAGTTGCTCAAAACCAAAAAGATGAGATTAGGTCCAGGGACACACAGAACAACCTGAAAGAGATCCCAGTGAACAATGTGAGCAACACAATTAATATGGCATGCTATTGGATTACAACCCAGAGTATGAAATAAATATATGCGTGGACCAGCCCATCAGTAAATCATACAGAAGTGTAAAAGTTTAACCCGAGGCTTAATCCTAAGAGGCAAGTCATTTATTTCTTCAATTAAAAAAATAAGTTAACGTTCCCATTTGTTGTATGTATAAGATTTTTTTCCTTCCAAAATGTTCTAAAGTGCTTTCTAGAAAGATTTTTAAATATCCCCAGATCACACTAAAACATACTGTGTGTGGTACGTGTATAATTTGAAGTACATAATCTTAGTGTGTTATCAACATTATAATAGTTGATGAAACGGATTTAGGGTGATGAGAGCCACTCTTAGAAGCCCCGGGTTTTAGAGGGAAAATGTGAGTTAATTTTGTTAGGTTTTATATTGTGGAATTCTCTTAGTGAGGGCTCCTATTCTGAAGTCTTACTCTCCAGACATTTTATGTTAATTAAATACAGTGTACAGATGAGTGCACATAAAGTATAGTTTATTATTCATTAACATAAGACTCAACTGGACTGTGTGTTTTACCCTTTATTAAATCATAAATAACTAAGGAAGATACACACAGTTTTATGCTCAATGCTGCTTTTTTTTTAAGTTTATGTCTGGTATTTTATAGTTTTGTTACTGATATGAATGGCATTTGTTTTTACCATTTGAATTTCAAACTGGTTTTGCGAAAGTTTTTTCAGGTATCTTTTGGTTAGCTGAAATTCATCCGTATATAAATCTTTTGAGAAGAGCTCATGGGAAATAATACCCTACTTACTGCATGTTTAATATTGCTTGTCTGTAATTTGTTTTTGAGTAACAGACTACAAAGTGCCCAAGTCACTGCAGCAGCAAACCCCTGGCTTTTGGGCATTTTCTTTGTCCATTGGCTGCTCATTTGTTGTTTTGTGTTTTTTCTAGTCTCCTGAGATCTTGTGTTTCATTAGCTGTTCAAAAAATATTTATTGTGAACACTGTGTGTAAAACACTGTGCTACTTGCTAGAATATGCAAAATCTAGGTTCTGTGCCCTCGTAGAATTTATTCTTATTTCTTTAATACAGAGGTTGCAAAGTATTGGCTACATCTGTTTCACAGACATTTTTTTGTTTGGCTTACACAGTATCAAAAATGTTTTTTGAATCAGTATTTTGAAATTAAGAAATATCACCTAAAAACTTTGCAGCTAGCTCCTTTCGATATATAATGCCTCTTTAATAAGACTGTGTGTACCAATTTGCCACGGTTACCTATTAATCCCTGAAACCAAAGCCAAATTCAGTTGGCATTTATTGTCACAACTAGGCTGTTTATAAACATAGTTTTTTAAAGATGAGCTACTTTAATGTTTTCTGGCAACTCCCCTTTAGGCATTTGAGTTTGTGATCCTTGTACAGTATTTATCACTCAGCCTGCTAATTTTCTTACAGATCGGGTGGAAGCAGAAGGGAAAGACTGCGACACTCTAGCCTCAATCAACAAAAGCAATAGGCATACACACTTGAGTTGACCTTTTTCACTTTACTTCAATAAGGTGATAGGTAATTTTTTTTATATTTAAGTATTTTTATGTTCATTAGCTCTTTTATTTTTAATCATCAATATTAAAGACAATGTCAGATGTAGGTATTATGACCTACAATTTATTGGAAGAAGATGAAGAAGTTGGTGCCAAGTTCAAGCCTGTTCTTTTTCCATGAGACTGCCTTGCATTTGCTTGTCTCATTACGGCCTCTCAGCAATCTTGAGAGACAGGTGCAGCCTGCAGGTTTCATCGCTTGTTTAGATTGGAAAAAGCAAACTCAGAGGAAGAGTTCTTTCTTGCCATTAATCACGTAACTAGTCCTCAGAACAAACCTGCTCTTGCCATTAATCACGTAACTAGTCCTCAGAACAAACCTGCTCTTGCCAGGTACAGTGCTAGACATGTAACAGGTATTACCTTATTTAATTCTTATCACTGCAGTATGAAGTAGGTATTGTTATCCCCATTATTTTCCTGAATAAGATGGAGAGTTGGAGTTTGAACCTAGAACTGTCTATAGTAACATATTATCCGATTGTTTGGTTCCTTTTTTTGTTGCCATTAAGAGGCTACATTTGGTTTGGTGGGGTTTTTTTTGGACTGTTGTTTTGCTCTGTAGTGATTCAAAACAAAAGGGGACCTGAAACTAAGTTTAGTTCAAAGAATACTTACTCTATTTTTTTATATATTCAGCAGTTTCAAAAAAATATATACATATATATATTTTTTTCTTTTTATGTGGACAGTACATTTAGAAAATACTTGTTTAGGTTTAGCAAATCAGTGTAGCAGTTGGTTTTAAATTTTGGTTTATTGTTGATTTTTGACAAAGAAAGGGCATATGAAAGTTAATTTGATTTGAAGATTAGGCAGTGTAATAATTTCTTAGGTGATTTGTATGACTTTTTGCAGCTTGTGAGATAATCTGTATATCTATAAAAGCCTAAGCGACCAAACTACCAGTTGCTATGATGTGCACTGACCACCAGGGGGCAGACACTCAATGCAGGAGCTGCCCCCTGGTGGTCAGTACACTCCCAGAGCCAACCTCCTGTGGTCCCTCCCTCCCCGCCCCCCATGGGCCTGCCCCCATTGGGGCTGGCCGGCCAACCTCCTGTGTCCCTCCTCTCCACCCCCAGCCGGCCAACCACCCATGTCCCTACCCCACTGCCGGTGGCCACGATCCCCCCCCCCCACACACACACACACACAGACAGCCCAATTGCCCTGATCAGGACTGGGCAAGACAGCTCCAGTTGGCTGGCCAGGCCGATGGAACCTGGTGTGCATAAATTCATGCACCAGGCCTCTAGTTAATTTTATAAAGTACTTTATCCTGAGCTAGCTTTTTTAGGTAAGTTAGAAACAAAAAGGCCCAAGAAAGCTAAATATGTAAGTATCGAGTTAGTGTTCCTTTTATATATTTTACCTTCAGTTTGGGTTCCATTTTATTTTACTTAAATTTTCTTGGAGAAGGTGCCCAATGGCGATTTTCAAAATATTCCCAAGAATACATGTGTTTTTTCTTAAAAGTCATCAGAAGAGTTACAAGTTCTATTCCCTTTTGAGGAATTAGTCTTAATTTAAAAAAATATATATCCATATCTATCTATCTATGTATTTCTTTATTGATTTGAGAGATGATAGAGGTAGGGAGAGGGAGAGAAATAACAATTGGTTGCCTCCTGCATGCCCCCCACTGGGGATCAAGCTCCCAACCCGGCATGTGCACTGAATCCAACTGGCAACCTCTTGGTCCAACCAACTGAGTTGCACCAGCCAGGTCAGTCTTAGTTTTAAATTAAGTTTCTAACAATGCAGATGAAAAGTGGCTATTTTTTTTTTTTGTCAATTCTCAGTTATATTTAAACCAAAGAAAGCGTTGATGCAGTAATTGTCAATGGCATCTAAGCAGAGGAAGCTAGTAATTCCTCCTGGAAACAGAATAAGTTTCGTAAGAAGTTATAAAAACTGACACTGACTAGGAACTTTGAGTTTTAAATAGTTTAATGAAAGCTATCCCATGTTTTTATTGATATACTTGTCTTACACTAAAAAAGACAATTTCCTTTTGTTAAAATATCATTTCTAATTCTCCTGAGTATATTTGAGTATAGTAACAGCTCTTGGACCTATAATCTAGAATAATGTTAACTTCTTTTAAGTTCATTAGAGATAACTTTGTCACAAAGTACTTATTAATAAACCTTGCAAGCCCCAATTTTTCATACTTTGAGTAAATGCTTCTTACTAATGTTGTGAATTTTTTTTAATTCTTGATTTTTCTAGGGATTATTTCACATTTCAGCTGCTTTTGTTTTCTACTGCTATCATTGAGGGTTCAAGAACAAAAAATAAGTCTTCAGGTAAAACGCCTGATCCATAATAGTGCTTGGCATTGTATTTTGCTGAAAAGATCATATACCTGTTTGGATGCTTGATCTGAAAATAGAGTTGTGATGATTATGAAATTTTCGCATGGAGTTTTCTTGGCTGCCTTTAACAAATTTGGTTTTATTTGTTGTTTTTCTTTTCCTTTTTTTTTTTTTTTCCAAAAGGATTTTGGCTGTCTGCTTTTATTCATGTGTCTCGATCTGCAATTACTGTATGGATATGTGCTTGTACTTGCTAAATATTTTAATTTTATGTATTTGGCTGCTTGAATTTTAAGTAATTTCTTTGGACAATGAAAATTAAGAGCTTGAGGCTACAAGTGAAATATCAATTTACGGAAGTTTTTAATTAGTTTATAAATGTATGCTCCTTGTCTTCTCTATATTTTAAGGTTTCATATTTTATGAAAATTAAATAAAATTTAAAGTGCAATTCCTCAGTTGCACTGGTCACATTTCAGATACTCCTTTTGGGCCATACGTGGCTCGTAGCTACCATTTGGGGCAGCACAGATGGGAGACTGTTTCTGTAGTCACAGAGAGTTCTGTGGACAGCACTGTTTTCCTGTCCAGTAGAAGGAAGTTAGCAGCAACATGTAAGCTCATTTCTCATACCAGTTTTTATAACAGTTTAGTAACTTTCAAAGATGAAGTATATGACTAGCCTTGAACTGTTTTCTTTACATATGGTAGCCATCTCCATCTTGAGTATTTCAAACTTAAAGTTGCCTAAAACAGTTCATTTGTGTCAGTAATTATGTTATTTCAAAGTGAAATTGTTTCTTGTAGCAAAATTCATGAAGTAGTAAAAAGGCCAAGTAATTAGAATAAATTTAAATTCTGAGTCCAGGACTCACTAGTTGTAACTTTTCTGGTAAGAGCCTCAATTTGCTTATCAGTAAAATGGAGGTAGCATTAGTTACCTCGTAAAATTAAAAAATTTAAAAGACTTAAATATATCTAAAAGCATGTAACAAAGTGGACATTTATAATACCTTTATCTATAAAATGAAGCCAAAATACTTAAATTAATTAGGCAGTATCACTTGATGGGGTTGTTCCCAGCCTGTCTATTGTAATAGGTCTCTAGAAGTGGCTAGGTCAGGAGTATTCCATAGAAGTTTCTGGTGGCCAAGGCATTATTTCTGACATTGTGTAAAATTAAAACAACTAGAATACCAGAATGGGGAGGGAAAAAAATAGAAAAATGATAAACTTTGTTATTGGAGAAGTCTGCAAAGTACTTTCTAATATTTTGTATAGTTTTACAACAAAGTTTTTCACATAATTCTTTAAAATTTCATCTCCATAATATGTGGAGTTAAAAAAGAGTGAAAGGAAATTCAAGGTTGACCAACATTTTTCGGTTGCCTAGCTAACCAATAGTGAGAACGGAAATTCATATTATGTTTTCAACTTTAAGTCTTATGCTCTTTCTACTTCAGTATGCTGTTTCCTTGATAGTAGTTGTGATTTCAGGTAGGTGTATATTTCAGAATCTCTGGGGATGGGTCCAGGTATATGTAATTTTTTTTCTTACGTTGAGACAGAATGCATACCCAAGTGATTCTGGTGCCCACCTCTGGCTAAAAATCATTGCTCTCTTCCAGGTTTAATTTTTCTTCTCCTATTTCACTACATCTAAATTAGTGCTTAGACCACACAAATAAGACAAAGAATGAAACTGATATTTAGGTAGATAAGCAACAACACTTGAAAAAGCAATTCAGTTTAGTTTCCTATTCACAATCTTGATGGTCTGTCTCTCCATTTGATCAGTGCTGGTGGCGAGGAAGGTTCCAGAGTAGCCAGCTCTGGAAGTTAAGTCCATTAGTGCTCCCCCTTCCGCTTCCCCGAGATCAGTTTTGGCTCCTTAATACTAGTAGTCTGCTCTCATTGTGTCCAGGTCCTTGGGCATCGCCTCCTTATCACCGTGGGTAATAAGTAGCCTCATGAGTGTTTTCAGTTGCTTGACTGAAGTTTTTTGTTTGTTTGTTTTTTTAATCTTCATCCGAGGATATTTTTCCATTGATTTTTAGGGAAAGTGGAAGAGAGAGAGAAAGACAGAGAGAAACATCGATGTGAGAGAAACACATCGATTGGTTGCTTCCTGCACAAGCCCTGACCAGGACCCAGGCCCAAGGATCCTGCAACCAAGGTACATGCCCTTGACCAGAATCAAACCCAGGACCCTTTGGTCCGCAGGCCAATACTCTGTCCACTGAGCCAAACCGGCTAGGGCTTGGCTGAAGATTCTTAATAAACTTTCCTCAGCTGTCTTAAAGATGCTTCAGTGTCCTGGATTTAGTGGTATTTGCAGGCCGTTTTTAACGCTGAATGCATCACATTACTAATAAGCTCAAAATTGAATGAAAAGACCATGTCATGATGGGGTGGGATAGGTGCATACTCTAGCAAACCCTCAGGTAGGCAACAGTTAATCACATTGTGTAGTGGATTTTCAAAAATAAAACGTATTTTCAAAAATACAAAGACAGATTCTATTGGAAATTACTTTCAAATTTGAAAATTAAGCATTTGCTATTTGAGGCAGCAACTGAGGTTTTGCAGTGAGTAAACTGTCTTAACTCAGAAATGCTTATCAAAACGCAGTTGAGCAGGAGCAATAATATGCTAACATTGGCTTTTAATTTTCTGAGCAGAGATCGTGCCACTAGAAACTATTTAAAGTGAATAAACAGAGGGCTACTCCTGTGTTGAAATGAATGTGCTTGGAATGTTCTTCTATATAGGTGTACCTTTCTTAACATAAAAAATACAGTTCTGATAATTTTTCATTACTAAGATTTAGGGAGCCTATGATTAACATGACTGATTTTAATAATGGCATTCTAGATTAAACAAAAAGTTTTTAAACTTAATACCTACAATGTATAACATAACATTCTTATTTTTCAAAATATATTGTTACGATAGATATCATATGCAGATTAGATTTATCTTTGTTGCACTGTAAATAAATGTTCTTATAAACAAGATAAAACCAAGGCCTTTTAAAATATTAAAGTTATCCCAAATCAAAGATTAATTTAAAAAACTATTGCAATAAACAAATGAGACTTGGCAATCATAGATCAACTTAAATGTATTGTAAGACAGTTATTTTTCTGTGAACAATGTATTCAGAAGCCTGTACTTAGTGGATTTCTACTTACTTTTATTTGGTGTTGAGAATCTGTTACATAGACTTCTATGGCAAAAATATGTTAATACTTTTTCTCTCTTTTTCTTATAAATATATATTTTTTTATTATTTAAGATATTACATATGTGTCCTTATCCCCACGTTACCCCC